CTTGGCAAATTTTCTTTTTCAAATTGTCGATTCGTCGTTTAACACATTCCGTGCCACGTGTACCATCGATGGTACACGCTTGCATGTTTACTTAGTTAACTGAACAAATTGTTTACAAGAAATTCAGAACCGAAGAGTCAATTTCCACCGCAAGAATGGGCGTTGATAAGTTTTTGTTACGTTGTTATGTGTACGAGAATTAATAATTGCACGTAATACATCAAGTTTTAGTAAAATATCAAAGTGTGAAGATTCGAGTAAAAAAAGCTCGGCACGGAACGTGTTAACACGTTGACTGCCACGCGTATTTACAAGAAAATCTCCTACAGGCCACCCGTGCCGCAATAGGAAGCGTGCGCTGTTAATTCGTGTCTGTTTCTGTTCCTGCATGAACAGTTGGAATCTTTGCCGAGTACCGAATGGTATAACTTAAAATCTCTGCCCTTATATTTTTCAATAATGAAAAGAGATCGGATTGCCCGGAAGGAGAAGCATAAATAGAATTACATCGTCAGATTCTGATTCGGATACTGATAAATACAATCTTGGTGATAATGAATGTTATGAAGATACTATCGACGGGATTTGACGAGAATCGGTCATGGAAGAAGAAAGAAACGTTGATGATACCGAGGAAGCTACAGTTCAAATGAAAGCTCAAATAAAAGATACGAAATGGACCGATCAGAGGCACGAGCAAATCTGAACAAACCAACAACTTTTTGTCCAAGCTGTCCTGATCGACCTCAACTTTGCAGAGAATGTTTTAATGTTATACACTGCGAATAATCTTTTTAATAAACCATTTTTATAAGAATTCAATAGTTTCATCACCTCCTGTAGAATATTTGTCGAAATATTTTCGGAAATCCTTTGTAAGTAGTCGAATCAGCGTCACCCGAATTACGGGTGACGTGGCCTGATGAGAACTTTTGCTGTCACCCGAATACGGGTGACGCGGCAGTCAACGTGTTAATTATCTATTCGGGTAACCATCTTTCGTACCCGTTTCGAAAACTCGAGCTGCAAATCCTTCGATACGATTTATTTTCGTCGGGAATCGCGCAGTCGGATACGCGTGTCGCGATTAGCTCGCAGCGTGACGCGACAATATCGTAGAACAGTGGTCGGGTTTACGAGGCCGAGGGAGTTCGTGGACTTCGTTTGTACCACGGTAACGCGTCCGCATCTATTCCCGTTACGTTTCCCTAGAAATTGTCTTCCTTCGCGCGCGAGCTCCGGTCACGCAATTGCGACAGGATGTGTCTTTCGCTCGGTTAATGGCGGAGATAAGTCGCGGCGATAAGGCTCTGTCCATTGGCCGCAAAGCCAGCTACGCGTGTTAGAATGATTCCTTGCATAAAGAGAATTCGCGATCGCTCGTTGAAAATTTTGAGAAGACCATCGAGCGATTTTGGACCTGGGCCAGGCGAACACCGTCGGGAACCACGGAAAAGTTCGACGACCTCGCACCGTTCGAGCGAACCGATCCCGAAGCTCGCGCGTTCTATCGTATCGTCGAGTACCGATAACGCATCCAGCGGAATACGGAAACGAGCACGGTGGGATGATTCGAGCGTCGACACAAAGATAGAAAATTTCCACGACACCGAGAGAAACAAATACGCGTGTACACGCGGATCGACGACTAACGGGATAGTTTACGCAGAGACAATTACGAAGCGTCCGCTTCGAGGAAACGCGACTCGTGCCACCGTACACGCGTTCATCGTAACATTCCACGGAGATTTCGCAATCGGAATCGAATGTTTCCACGTGGAACATTCGGCGGACGCTTCGCGGAGTCATCGAGAAAATCGAGTCCGAGGTTCGACCGCGGATCTTTTTTACTTCGAAAAAGTTGATTTTAGATTCGACGGTTGCACGCGTTCGATTCCGAGCGAACAAACAATGACCGGGACACGTATAATGTACCTCGGAACAACCGTTGATCTACATGTCATTAGTTTCGTCGAACGCGTCACCGAATATATACATATATATGTATATATACACCGCTGACGCAAAAGTAGCACGAGCATATCAAATTGAACGAAGTACGGCGGATCGACCGAACACTGGTCGAGATCGCGGTACTTTAGCGACAATCGCTGTACGAGGTGGACGAACGATGCGTTCACACGGTATACGTATAATTATACGACCAAAAAAGTACAGTCGCGTTCGCAGTGTCCCAGCGAGGCGCGTAGAACGTTCGTAGAAACTACCATGCTGCTAAACGATATTAACCCTTTGCACTCGAAGTCAAATTAACGGAAAATTTAATATAATTTTTGTGACCTACTGTATTTCCATTTTATATAACCTGATGCATTTTATACGTATGAAATTGAACTTTGCGATTGATGCAACAAGTTATCCCTTCAACAGTTCTTCAAATGTGAAGAAATTCGATTAGTAAAATTATTTTCAAGCGTGACATAACAATCTTTAATGGCGCCTTAGAGTCGCCATTCGAGTGGAAAGGGTTAACGCGTTGAATGCCACGCCGGTTTTACAGAAATTGTCCGTGGCGTCACGATGAATTTTCTTTCATGCGATACATATAATGTTGAAATATTATCTGCAATAGATAAGTTACACAGTGTATAACCATGTTTGACACGTTAATTGCGACAGGGGTCATCGTTTGAATCGACGATGGTAATAATACACAATTTTAGATACTGACATTTGTTTTAACACGTTGGCTGCCGTGGGGGTCACCGGTGACCGGCACTCGACTTGGCTACAGCGCCGTGGGGGCCACCGGTGACCGGCGACGCGACGAATAGTTAAAATACATAATTAGGGTAAACATCGATACTTATAAATTTCTAAACAATGCCATTGTTTCTGTAATGCTTTGAAGAAATTAATGCCGTACAGAACATGCAAAAATAATTTTATTGATACAAGGAAATATACATGTTATTTGTGCGCATAACGATGAAACACATTGAAACACGGTAGGCACAGAAAAGGTGAGCCAGAACAGTCAGCACAATATGTTCTTAGTGCAATTCTTTGCTCTCATTCTTCCTAGCTATTTTGCATTTTTTTCATAACACAATTTGCAAAATCGTCTTATATTTCGCATTCTTCCCGGTTCCCTTTTAAGTTCATGGCGACGTTTTTTCTGTACGTGATTGCTTGGTGAAGTGCAATCTTCATCGTTAGAACATTTCACTAAATACTTCGCTAACTTCATCCTAAACTCGGAGATTGAAATATAATCGCAAAAATGGTCTGCGGCGCCTTAGGGGTCACCGGTGACCCTCGCCACGACAAATGCATAAAACAAGTTTATACGACTAAACTTATCTGCAGTAAATAATATTTCAACATAATATGCACCGCATAATGAAAAATTCATGTTGGCGCCTTGGGCAAGTCACGTAAAATTCGCGCGGCAGCCAACGTGTTAAATTATATATATTTCTATCAATTTGGGAGCTCCGGTCACCGGTGGCCCCCGTGGCGTCACCGTCAGGTTAAGTGCCGGTCACCGGTGACCCCCGTGGTTTTACGTCGGTTTTACGTTCGGATGGTGACATTGACACCACTCTCTGGCCGAATATTGCAAATATCTCCGCAAAAACTGCAAAACGGATATTTCTACAACCGAAGCCCAGTCGTTTGGTCTTTTTGGAATCTAAATTTTCCACTTGTGAACTCTGCACACTTCGATATTAACCCTTTGCACTCGAATGGCGACTCTAAGGCACCACTAAAAATTGGTGTACTATTTTTCAAAATCATTCTGAGAGCATCGGACTCGTTTCTACTTGAAAAGAAACTATTAAAATTGCATTGTACTTGTCAACAGGCTCAATTTCATGCGCATAAGTCGCAATAAATTCTATAAAATAGAACTACAGTACATCAGAAATCATGTTTTGGATTTCGAATTCGAATAGCTTCGACCGCAAAGGGTTAAAGCGTCAGTTTTGGTCGATGTAAACCTCTAAAACTAATATACGTATATAGTTTTTTTTCTATGCGTGGGTCGTCATAGTGTGCGGCAATCTTAAACTCGAACCATCGATTAGTACTCGCATGCTATCCAGAAGTGTGACAAGCACAGCGGTACTCGAGAGTGCCTCCGTATCTTTTTATTTCGTCATCTTCGGCCGTGACGTACGCGACCGTGACGTTCGTTAAACTCCGATCCCCGTGAAAGCGAATTTCATGGAATCCCGGCGACTACGTGACCGATCGAACGAACCACGATATTAAAGGATTACGGTTGCCCGTTGCTTCGGCGCTACCATATGCCGATGCACCGATATAAATTCGTTAAAAATACACCAAAAAAAAATATCTCTCGAACTGCAAAAAGATTAGAAAAGACGTCGCGTTCCTCGCGGGGGTCTGTTGCGTCTCTCGTTTATTCGGTAATCGATCGTTCGAAACGATAGACGGTGCTCTCGACGTTCGCCGAAGGATCGCTGCTCCAAAAAGTCCGGTAGCACCGAAAGTCCGATGAAAATCGAGGGTAAAAATTCAAATCGAAATTCTTCGAGCTCCGACAAAGTAGAAGTTGCACGAAAATATGTTACAGCGAAGACACGAAAGTACCGGCGAGTCGGTCGCGCGCAACGACAGCAGCGTTTAAAATACGAACACTCGCGACGAAAGAACGAGCAACGGACGATGGATAATTTCCATCGATTTCCGTGGGAAAGTTTACGATTCGCCGGCCCAGCGGCCACGCCGAGGCGACGTCGGGCGATCCGCCCGTCCGAATTTCCGCGTCGGCTCGAACTGTCATCGTTTATTTTCGGCCCCGCGCCCTTTAAACGCCGCTGTCAATCTACGCGTGCAACGTACGCGTATACGCGAACGCGCGAACGAGCGATTCCGGGCGGAGACGAAGAGACGAGCACGGAGCACGCCGCTGCTAGACGTCGAACCGTCGACGCGATCGCCGCGGAAAAGCTCGAAAGACGATCCGAAGCTCGCATCGAATAGAGAGCGGCACGTAAAGCCGGGCGTACCTTGTTCAATTGGGGGTTCTTCAGATGATCCATGCCGCGAATCATGCCGGCGCACAGGGCATCGCCGTTTCCTCGACTGCCAAGCTGATCCCTCTCGAGGCTCGACATGCTCGGAGATTTGCCGTTGCAGACTGACCGACTACTGCCGTGGATCCTGCGAACGACGGGCAAGGTTTAAGCCTGACGGGGAAAAATGTCGGTACGGCAGAACGGAACGCGGCGGCGGCGGTGTCCGTGTCGAAACTGTCGAGCGAAGGTGCGGTTAGGGGCGTGGGGTGGAGTGGTATCGTCGCGTATCAAGCTCATGAAGCAACACGGCGGCGAACTTTGGCTTTCCTTTATTCGTCGCGAGAGAGATTCCGACCGCGACTCGGCTCGCGGTGACCGCTCGCGAATTGATAAACCGACAGGACACAATTGATATTTTACATAACGGACGGCCATCGCGGTGGGGCGAGCGAGCGAGCGACGATTAGGCGCGGGGATGTTCGCGCGCGGTCTCGCCGAATCGTGCGCTGCGATTACCGGTACGAAACGAGATCGGCCTTATCCGAGTTTGCCTGAAAACGATTCGATCGTTCCCGGAGGCGATGGCGCGCGCCGCTTTCGTTACACCACTGGCTTGCTACGACTGCGGCTAACTCGAAGCAAACGCGAGCGCAAGCGCGAGCGCGCAGTCGCGCGTCTTCGCCCGTCGCGGAGCATCGCGCGAGCATCGGACGAGCATCGGACGACTAATACATATTCCATCCGGCCGTGAACGAATAATCTATGTACGTGCCACGCGTAGCCGGTAGCGAGAAATTCGTAGAGCCGGTCGCGCGTCGATGCTGCAACGTTTCTTTCCCACGTATAAAACGATATCGACCGGAGAGAACGAGACCCCACCCCTGTTCGAAGACCTAGCGGATCGGAGCTGCGATCGAAGCTCGACGTACGGGGAACCGGCGTTTCGGCAGCTCGAGACGCGCGAATATTATAATTATATAGTATTAATATTTGTTTTATTAACCCTTTGCACTCGAAGTTTTTTTTGAGTCATATTACCAGCAACTCGAAGCCATTTTAGTGAAAAGATCATATTCACATGTAAGTTCATGATATAAGTATTAAAAGAAAAGTCATCGTTGTATGTTATTATTTTTTTAATTGTTTATGGATAGAAACGTCATTTGTCACCAACAGCGAAACATCCTATAACTAATTTTTACGATTTGTTTTTGTTCTTATGTTAAAAACTGAAAATTATTTGCATTGTCTCCGTAGCGGAGCTCTCGAGTTTGGAGACAAATTTTAAATGGCTCCGCTCCGGAGCCCTCGAGTGCAAAGGGTTAATATTTGATTAACCCTTTGGCCTATAACCACGAGTCTGACTCGTGGTGAAAAATTTGTGCCATAAGCGAAAACCACGAGTCTGACTCGTGGTAAAGAATTCGTGCCATAAACGAAAGCCACGAGTCAGACTCGCGATAAAGAATTTGTGCAAATTTGTGTAAAAATAAATTATTTTTGTCAACCGATCAATCGATTATGATTGCACCCCAGACGTCTTAAAATTACTATTTGTACCTAAACATTGTTTATTATTTCGCAATTCCTTTCGTTGCACTGAAATACATATGTCATGAAAGGTACACATTTTGCGCCAGTTCGGGTACACGGCTGAACAGTTCAATGGCACGGCGCGCGACCGATTTTCTTGTTTACTATAGCTCGCGCAATTGGCAGATATCGTGTAGGCCAAGGGGTTGATATTTATATTATATAATATTATTATATAATATTAACCCTTCGCACTTGAATGGCGACTCCGAGGCGCCGCTAAAAATTGGTGTACCATTTTTCAAAATCATTCTAAGAGCATCGGACTCGTTTCTACTTGAAAAGAAAACTATTCAAATTGCATTGTACTTGTCAACAGGCTCAATCTCATGCGCATAAGTCGCAATAAATTATATAAAATAGAACTACCGTAGATCAGAAGTCATGTTTTGGATTTCGAATTCGAATAGCTTCGCGACCGCAAAGGGTTAATATCTTATACCGAACACACGACGAGTTTCGTCCGTCTCGTTGCCGGTAATCGGTGATCGGAATTCGTCGTTCGAAGAGTCGTTTCGAGGCGTTTGTTCGAGAGTTCGACGAGAGCTTGCGTTACGAGCACGAAATGCCAGCTCGGTAGGTAGTTGCCGATAATAGCGATAAACTTTTGCCAAATTATCGAAGAGTCCGGAGAGAGGGGGGGTTCATCGAGAATCGACGGATTCGTCCAAACGATCGCTGTCGCGCGCGAGTTCCGAGGAACGAACTGCACCGATTGCCCGCGGATCGACGAAAGCTTTACCGACCGACACGGCTGATGCGATACGCGTCGATGTATACGCGTGGAACGACGGTATAATCGCAACACGCTGTTCGCGCGTTCGAATCGCGCACAAATTGTCCAGAAACAATCGCCGACGGCGCGAAAGTTCAGCTTTCCGACGCGACGTTCGCGATGAATCGGGATCCGCGTATTCGCGCGCGCGCGCGTTGTTCGCCGCGGTTTACCTGGGGCGCAGCTGATCGCGCGGCAAGGTGCAAGGTTCGAGGTCTATCGTAGCGGAACGCGAGTGGCTGGACCGACGGAGAGCCGAAACGGATTGACGGCCGAACCGTTTCAGGAAACGTCTCGAGGACATGGTCGCGATTTTTTGCGAGCGACGCCTCTCGGCCGATACGACATCGCTCGATAAACTGTTGCGATCATCGTCTGAACCGAGTTTAACAACGCAAGATTACTCAGTTACACGGTTACGTCATACCGATAAGTTGCTAGACGCGCGTTCACGTGGTGTATCAGGCGTGCAACACCGAACGAACTCGCGCCACCGGACAATTTTTTCACGCTCGGCCCCGAGCAACCCCGCTTCTTCGTTCTCGCGGAACCAGAGTTTACGGCATCGAACGGTCGAATAATAATAACAGTCGAATTGTCGAATTGTCGAATTGTCGCTACGTCGATACTCGTCCCCGAAGAATTCGAGACTGGAGACCCGTACTCTCGAAAAGAGCGAATTAACGTCGAATCAGGATCGGAAGCAACGATGCCGGTGTTGTTAAAAGTGCCGCGAGATACGTTTATGGATTTACGTACACGCTGCTCGAACGATCGATGTTAACACGTTGGCTGCCGCGCGAATTTTACGTGGCTTGCCCAAGGCGCCAACATGAATTTTTCATTATGCGATGCATATTATGTTGAAATATTATTTACAGCAGATAAGTTTAGTTGCATAAACTTGTTTTATGCATTTTTCGTGGCGCATTGTAATAAATTACAATTATTATAATATTATATTATTTAAAAATTTATGCGTATCGATGTTTACCCTAATTATGGATTTTAACTATTCGTCGCGTCGCCGGTCACCGGTGGCCCCCACGGCGCCAAAATTTTTTAGATAGTCACATTTGTTTGAAATTATGTATATTTCTATCGATTTGGGCGCGCCGGTCACCGGTGACCCCCGTGGCATTCAACGTGTTAATAGAGGACGTTCGGGTATTAACACGTTGGCTGCCGTGGGGATCACCGGTGACCGGCACTCGACTTGGCGGCGACGCCATGGGGGCCACCGGTGACCGGCGCGCCCAAATCGATAGAAATATACATAATTTCAAACAAATGTGAATATCTAAAATTTTGTCGTAGTAATACGATTTATCTTGACTGTAGCTTAAAGGCAAGAGTCGTAGTAATACGATTTATCTCGACTGTAGCTTAAAGGCGAGAGTCGTAGTAATACGATTTACCTCGACTGTAGCTTAAAGGCGGGAGTCGTATTAGTACGCTAGACATCAAAAAGCACAACTTAATACGGATAGAAAATAAAGGCAAAAAGCTATATGCCCAACGAAACTGCGTAGTTTGTGCGGCACATAAAACAAGAAAGTTGACTTGCTTCAAATGCGAGTTTTGCAATGCGCCTTTTCACCGTGGCGAGTGTTATCAACGTTATCACACTCATAAAAAATACTAGATTCTTCTCATAAATATGTACTTTAAAACATTTTTTTGTAATCAGCGTTTAGTTCTTTTTTAATATTTCTTTCAGTTTTAAGAGCTTGAATAAACTTTCTTAAGTCTAAATTTTGTTACGATTACACAAAATATCGCCCGCTCTAGGACGAAAAACGAGGCGGGGCGGTCGCCGCGTTACCTAGCATACTTTCGTCAAGATCCCCCGCCTTTAATGCGATAACATGTCAAACATGATTATACACTGTCACTTATCTGTCGCAGATAATATTTCAACATTATATGTATCGCATAAATGAAAATTCCCCGTGACGCCACGGACAATTTCTGTAAAATCGGCGTGGCATTCAACGCGTTAAATTTCATGATGTATTCGACGAGGCGCTCTCCGCGCGAGGCAGTTACGGTTACAATTACTACAACAACAACGAAAAAACCGTGATAATGTAATCGTGAGACTGTTTAATGATTTCACTGCCGACCAAGCAGAACTTGAAACTTTTTCTCTTTGCACATGTCGTACGATGGTACACAGATCACAGGTCAGTAACCTGTTATCATCGTATGATCTGCGGTGGAAATAAACGCGACGGCGTCGCGAAATTTCAACTTCGGCGAATCGGGCGAATGCGCGAAATTCTGTTGTCCGCCGACCGTGATAATCGCCGACGCGCAGGACGTTTGTTTTTCCGCGCGTTTCAGCGAACGCGTTGTTGCAACGAGCCGGTCGATTCGCGGTCGCCATTTACGGCTGAAATCGTCGCGCGCGCGCGCGACGAACGGGAAAGAAAAGCCAATTTCACGGAGGTTGATCACGAGTCGTTGCGCGTTTCCGAGTATTTCGATCGTCGGAGATACGTACGTAATCGGATCGACGTTCTGGAAATTTCCGTCGGAATATCGCGCGTACATTTTTTAAATGTAAAAAACATCGAAGAAAAATCGTACGGACAATTTTGATCGGAGAATCGATCGAAATAAGTACGCGCGTAGAAATTTGCGTGTACGGTACACGGAGACGGTGTATGTTCGTAATTGAAATTTGTACGCGCGACGCGTATCGATTCTTGCTTGCCACCAAATTTCGTTCGCCGCGAATCGAGTATACCCGCTGGATGCTGTCGGTACGATAGATCGCGACAACGGAACGGTAAGAGGCATATTAAAAAGTCCGACTCCGGCGTTTTACGAATTCGATGCCGTTCGATGGTACACGCACTCGTACACGGGATTCGAATAGAATTCCAGATTTTCCATGATCGTAGCTGCATCGAGTCGTTTCGACGACAAATTTTCTATCGTCGTCGGTTCTCGTCGAAAGCATCGTTTCGTTCGATCGCGAATAAATCGAGCCGTCCAATTTGCAAACACTAGAGAATAGAAATCGGTTCCCACCGTTCAACCGACCTATCGACCACGACGCGACATAAACATACCGTGAAATCCTATAAATAGCGACTGCTGCAATTGCGCGAAGTCGACGGTTTGCGAAATAAAAATCAACGAACGATTCGTTTGAATGACCTGTTTACGAAAAGTTTGTTTAAACGCGAGCCGCGCGAAATAACGAGCCCGGGTAATCCGGGTTCAGCGAATTGCAAAGATTCGCGGTATCCTTTGTTTTGTCCGAAGCGTCGGATAAGATAACGTTCCGATTCGTCCGGTTGCTTTTCGTGAATCGGTCGCGCGTAAAAAGAAGGACGTTGCGCGTATACGATCGTCCGCGGGAAGATAAGAACGAGAGTATCGGATAATAAGGAAACCGTCTCTCGTACGTTTCCACATAATAGAACGCGTGCATTCCTTCCATTCCTTTCAAACGATCGCATAGTCGGAAATACTATGCAACGTCGGCGCGACAAATCGTAAATTTAGTAATTATTTTAATAATATAATAAAATTATAATTTAAATTTAACACGTTCCGTGCCACGTGTACCATCGATGGTATACGCTTGCATGTTTACTTAGTGAACTGAACAAATTGTTTACAAGAAATTTAGAACCGAAGAATCAATTTCCACCGCAAGAATGGGCGTTGATAAGTTTCTGTTACGTTGTTATGTGTACGAGAATTAATAATTGCACGTAATACATCAAGTTTTAGTAAAATATCAAAGTGTGAAGATTCGAGTAAAAAAAGCTCGGCACGGAACGTGTTAATAACTTTAGAACGCGCGTCGACCGATGCCCCCCCCCCCCGTTCTTGGTTCTCCGAAGCAAAGTTTAGAAGTTCGTCACTTACACCTTGCAAGTTCGTTGTTTGTTACGGGCATCCTTCGAATGCGGGCTTCCCATCGCGAATGAAACGAATTCGACCTGCGATTCACAACGAGAAAACTCAACAGAAACTATAGTCCATAATTGAATGGAAACTGCAGGGCCCGATTCGGGGAAAACGATGCACACCGTGTCGCGCGCAGAAACGGAACGATACGGATCTCCTGTACGGAGCTACCGTGGTTCGCTCTATCTATCCTATGTATGTACGTATAAATCGATCCTTCCGATCGCGAGCAGATCGCAAACCTGACTGAGGCGCGCGCGAACCAACTAAAGAATGCGTACCGCTGCCAGTTTAACGAAGGATCGTGGTGGTAGAAATCGGCCTTAAGGCCGACGTTTTTGGGGCAGAAAGCGATTTCGATCTCGAGGAAAGCCGTGTAATTGTGCAATAAAACGGTCCGCTATGAAAAGTGAACGTTACGATTTGGCCCTGTAAATAAATCTCCGGCGTTTCCAGCCATTTCTCTCTCTCTCTCTCTCTCTCTCTCTCTCTGTCTGTCTGTCTGTCTGTCTCTCTCTCTCTCTCTCTCTCTCTCTCTCTCTCTCTCTCTCTCTCTCTCTCTCTCTGTGTGTGTGTGTTCCAAGCACCATGAAGTTCAATTAAACCAAACAGTTTCACGCTAACGAGACGGGACGAAACGAGACGTCTTGATCGATGAGCGTCTTTTGGGTCGTTACGGGTTCGTAATTAACTGGCCAGTAGAAAACTGCGCCCCCGTGTAGCATCTCTCGAAAAAAATTCTACTTATCCGGATGTACGAGGCATAGTTTTAAATCGTGCACTCGATAGAAAGCGTCAGATTCTGATACTTCTCAAGGTGAGATCACCACCTGCTGCGTGCTTTCCTCTTTTGTAACGAACGATTCTCTCGGAACAGCTGATTCATCTAGAACTGGAACACCTCGAATCATTGTCGAGACAATGCCTATGATATACGGTTAAAAGCTGTTCAACGCGCAGTTTAGGTCTTTCGGTTGATGGTAAAATGATCAAATAATTTCGTTTCGGATCGCAGGAAAGGATCGTTCAGATTTTCTTAGCGAGAAGCTCGACGATCGAACGTTCTTTATCGATGGGGGTGAAGCGTTGTCGAGCGTGCGTTTCATAATTTCCGAAGTACGCGCACAAGGAGATAGGTGAGCGATCGTTCGTTGACCTCTCGGCGGCGATGTTTTTACCCCGCCGCGTAATCGAGAAACTAACTTCAAAAATATCCGATATTCTCGCAGAGGTCGCGCGACTCCGATTTCGATGGGGATAAAACGGAATTCGCGGGTTATCGTTATCGCGGAGCGTCGCTCGTCGATAGAACGGTTCGGTGGATCACCATGGCGCGTGCGGAGGTCGGCGTTGCGAGACGACCCGCTTATCGAACGTTACCGTAGACGTTCCGCCCGCGATTCGTTGCCTGTAAATATTTACACCGAAAGAGAGTTGACGCGCAGCGTATAATCGCGTACACAATACGCGCGTTACTCACTCTCTACCGAAACTTCCAGCGATGATCCGCGTCCTGCTCGAGTTTCCCGGACATCCGAGTCTACCGAAGAATGCAACCGTTTAAGATTCCTGCGATTACGATCAAATCGGCGACTTACTTTGCGCAATCCATCGTTCGAATTTTCTAAACAACGCGACAGCTACGGAGATACGACATTAGCTATCGATCTTTTGTTTTCGCGATTCTAAACGACACGATATTTAGGCGGTTCGTATACGTGTACATGCGTAGATTTGCGATTGTTTCGTTCGGTTACTATTCCCTAGCTATATACCGATTCGAGTAACTATACGTAGAATAATAACACAAATTATAACATTTCGAAGTTTTTACAATTATATTTTCCAATTGGAACACCTTTAACACACGTTGAATGCCACGCCGGTTTTACAGAAATTGCCCGTGGCGCCACGATGAATTTTCTTTTATGCGATACATATAATGTTGAAATATTATCTGCAATAGATAAGTTACAGTGTATAACCATGTTTGACATGTTAATTGCGACGGGGATCACAGTTTGAATCGACGATGGTAATAATACCAAATTTTAGATATTGACATTTGTTTGAAATTATATATATTTCTGTGGCGGACCAGACATAAAAAGCCACGTCCTCCAAAAGCGGGGTGTGCAGATGCCTTTTTCGGGTTTCCCGACGCAAGGCGTACACACCGCCATAAAACAATAAAAACGTTGGGACACAGCTGCGGACCTTATGTTCCGGATCACCCCGGTCGGAAAATCTTCGGGAAAGGCTTTCGCCCTTCCCAAGGACCTTCCCTTACCGATTTCACGCTCTCCCCAATAAATACGGAGACCTCTCGACCGGGAGACGTTAGTTAGCTAGTTTTCCTCCGACTCTCGACATGTTCGTATTTCTGTCTCATCCGTCACTCGCTTACCTTTACCTTTTACACACTGTTACCCCATCGCCTTTTTGTTACAAGTTATATCAAAGTTCTCGTTATATAAAAACCAAAAAAACTCTCTCGGATTATTTTATATAAACCGTCGCAGTAACCACTGCGACAAATTTCTATCAATTTGGACACCGGTGGCCCCCATGGCAATCAACGTGTTAACGGTTCTTCAACTTTCTCGTGCAACGTGTGATCCAAGATGAACGATTATGGATTCAAATGTAATTCATCGAACTTGTTTACCTTTTAGAAATGCCAACTAGTTGCCGATATAATATATCATAGCGTGCTGGCACTGGCATGCTAGTATACGGTCGGTCGGTTCTTTATTTCGGCAACTTTGCACTCCCTCTATGGACAATGGTGCGAGAAATCTATCTGGATGAATCAGATTGGATCAACGATGGCTGAAAACGTGAACATTCTATGTTACAACTTAATTACCGCAATTATTTCACCATCGTTTTGTTCGCTTTCGTCACCCACTTCTATCGTGTTCCTAAATTAGATTGCGAGCTCATTCTGCATACATATAATAGTCTATTAACGTAGCGATATCTACGAAAGTAAGCCACGCTGAATGTTCACTTTCACCTCTGTGTCGATAATTGCTTATTAACCGCGCAATGAGCCCGCATAGTGAAAGTCGAGACTGATTATAAAACGCACCTCTCCCATTTTGTTTTCGCTAATATTTCACTTACAACTGCCGTTGGACAACTACCGTTGGATTCCAATACCTTCTTCGAATGAAAAAATATTTTATGGAGTGTTTTCTTTTTATATCCGAAGTTTAACATTTTACCGAGCTGTTTGGGGATTAACATATCATTTTTTATATTTGGAAGCATTTACGGAGAGGAGAGGAAAGTTAACATTTCTTGGAGATTTTTCGATCTCCTGGATGATTTTTGAATGAATTCATGGATGTGGAGTTTTTATTTGTAGCTTAATTTATTGGTAACTTTTTGTGGGTATTCATTTTCCGTGATATTTACAGTACATATTTTCATCCAAATGCAATAACTTAGAATAGGTAGAGAGATAACTAAAGAGACAGAGAGAGAGAGAGAGGGGGAGAGTTTTTATGCTTCCTTTCCCTTATCACAATCATCGATATCATAATACTTTCCTCATCTGCAGTGGCTTCGCTAGCTTCCACAACTTTTTCTATCTCACGCCTATATGTACAGAATTAATAATAACAATACAATCGAACTTATAATGGCAAATCAATATCTTGAAATATTTAATTGTATATGCTTTACCTTTGTAGGTTAGCAAAAGCGTCAGGGTCTTCTCCCGTCTGGGTCTTTAGATCATCCGCTGTTAATAATGTCAGGTATCTCGATTCTATTAGTTAAAAAACCAAACATATTTAACCTTCGAGCACCTTGTAGAATATCGCAATTTTTGTTTACCTCGGTTTAGCCGTTAGCCACATCGACGTTCGTTCGTATTCAATTAATTCGTCAGGATTAGCAACTTTATCGCAATATTTCTGTGTCAATCTAAAATACACATATTATTTATTTCCGTTTATTACCTCTATTCGCTAATATACCAATAGAATCTTACCTCGTCGTATCGAACATTTGGCTATGTGTCAAGTAAAGTACTTTCAATCGAACATACGGTAACACTGGTTGCTTCGGGTGATTCAATTGTTCCGTAGCTCTAAGAATTAATTTGTTTTCTAAGCGACGGACGACAAAATTAAAACGAACTGATTTTAATAACGATCTATCGTTACTCTTTATGTTCACATCGTCAAGGTTCAGAGTGTCGAACACAAATGGTCTAACGGTTTTTAGTTTTAATTTCTTCAACTTGACTCTGTAATCGTTCACGCAGAGTATCCCAATGTGTTTGGCCTTGGATTCGCCCTCGCACAAAGAGGTCGCAACAGTGCTACCTCTAAGTGCGTTTTTTAAGCAGTAGTTTCTTATTTTCCATGCATCATAATTAATAAATAAATTTTAAAATATACCTGGTTGAGTAATGTAGTATTCCTGTTTAGAGATAGACTCGCCTGTGATGCAACATTCGTGTTCACCTCCCCACACGACTAAGTGGATTAAAGGGGGAAAGTGGGCTTCCGAAGTATATCCATGTTTAATATATGGTGCACGTTTTTTATGTAAAACGAACAAATTAAAGTATTCGGATGCAAGTTCACGGCTCCACCTATGAATGAAAATCATTTGCATTAAAAAAAAGGGAAGGTCTCTCGATACGTATATGGATCTCATAGGTTCACCTTAGAATCGTCCAACATCTGTGTTAATTTATCGTCGTCCATACAGTCTAAACTGTAAATTGCGACATGGTTATTACCCTTTTTTATCGCCAGTGGACGAATGATCATTTTATCGGTAACCGTTCATTTTCCAAAATAATTTATTAAACTAGACACAGATTCCGCACCGGACGAGTCCGTTTGACCATTTGTTCCAGAACCTATAATTTTGATTATATTTACTAATGGCTGAATCAATGTTGAAAAATCACTGTACTTAAACTATTAACATTATATTTCTTACTTGGATAGTCACTTTCCCCATAAATGGAAAATATTGGCACGTTGATATTCAAATTTAGATTCTCAAAATGTGGGAATATTAATTCCGGCTCGCTCAAAAATTCAATGTTAATTTTTCTGGTGGAAAGACGATAATTAATATTTGTCGTACTTCAAATATTATCTTGTATAAACATATCTTGCTAACCTGGGACCCGTACAGTATTTTCTTAACAATTCCATACATTTTGATACATCGGAAACTGTTGGTTTCGCATCGTGAAATAGATCTCCACCAAAAAGTATAAGATCTACATTTTCTTCTTTGCTATATTGAAGTATTTCTTCAAAAGTATCGAAGCTTTCATCCGATGACTCTCCTGCTTGTATAAATTAATTATTTTTAGTATATCCGAGTACATTTCATGACAATTGGACATCTAAGAACGATTGCAAACAAAAGAAAAAAAGTTTCTTCTTTATACGACCGGGAACAAAAGTTGAGTTTACCGCGTAGGAACTCTGGCACGTGACCACTTAAGACTTATAAACAACTGCATTGAATATTCGCCCTTATAGTATACAAAATATAATCTAAATCGGTGATCCGAAGGCCTTTGTAATTGTAGAATTTTATAAGACTGTCTAAATTAAAAAAGAAACGAAAGATATATAATATTTGCAAAGAATTGTTCGAAAACCAACCTGCCCTCTTGTTGAAATTGTAACCGTTATATAAAATATGGAAACACTAAAATATTATGGAAAACAAGTTTTATGCTACGATTCCGAATTACGACTGACCGTTGCCGTACGTTACTGTTCATTACGTTTCGTCTTTGTTTTAAGAAAGCGGAAGTGGGAGAATTACCCATCGCAAATAGGATTGTACGATGCCAATGGTTTCAGTGGCAATCCATTGAAATTGTTCAATCCCATGCGTGAGGTGTCTCCCCCTCCGCCACTTGGAACAGATTCCATGCAGAATTCCTGACATCATTGGACACACTAGATCCCGCCAAAATTGTTGTACATACACAGACATGAATATATACATATAATTATATGTAAATAATATATGTGATAATACGACGCAATACCAATAGTATGTACCTCAAGCTGAGGTACAATACCGCACTTAGGTGACTGACCGCTTTACGACTTTCTTTCAGAAAAGTAAGATTAGGCAAATTATCCATCACAAATGAGATTGGATGATGCCAATGGATTCCCCTTGGGACAAAAACCGAGGGATTATGAAATAATAATCATTAATTATTTTTACGTTTTGTAATTATTATTGAAATGTGAATGTTACATGGCTCGTTGGTCTAGGGGTATGATTCTCGCTTCGGGTGCGAGAGGTCCCGGGTTCAAATCCCGGACGAGCCCAGGAGAATATTTTTTTTCTAGTTTTATATCGTGTTATTTCAGTGTTTCTTACCGATAATATGTATCCTTTTCTGAATATTAATAATATTTGTTTTATATACCCGCTAATAGTATATTTTTCAACTTGAAATATTAAAGTCGATGACTAGATTATCGATTACTTTGTTGCGATTTACGATATCGAAGATATTCAACATGGCGCTCGCATGGAACCCGTCGAAGAAACACACTGACCGTGAGAGGTATGTCTATTGCAACAATTACTTGTATCTTTCAACATTTTTGATGAACATTATTATGAAATTATTTTGGAAATTTTATTTACATAATAAAGTTCACAGTCAACATACGTGCTACGTCACTACCAGCTGGGGCCTAACCTCTTTGTCACAACACTGACAGATTTTATTTTTGTTGCAGGTGGGTTTGTATTTATCCAGTTTATATAAACAGCAAAAGAACGCTGGCAAGTGGCCGGAAACTGGCGAAGGATAAATGCGTGGAGAACCCGACGCATCAGGAGATCCGAGACGTTCTAGTAGCAGCTGGATGCAATGTTGGCGTAGAAAACAAGTTACATCCGAGAGAACGTAGCAAAGAATTGTTGTACCGAGGTCGCATTCGTGTTCAGTTGAGAAATGACGATGGAACTCCTGTGAAACCAGAATTCCCAACTAGGGACTCTCTATTGGTATATCTAGGCACTACTATTCCAAAGCTAAAAACTCGTCAAGGTAAACAGTCGATGGGTGAACAATCCTCCCAGCCGTCGAGCTCTTCGTCTAAAAAGGGTAAGGGCAAAGGGAGGAGGTAATGTTGGGGAACAGTGCAATAAAGTTGATAAACGCTTCTCACTTATCTGCACTTTAATGTTGAAATGGGAATTATTCTCATGTACAGAAAGAAATTACGTTACATTTTGTACAAAGTTCTTAATAAACAGATATAAACCAAGTACCGTTCTCTTGCATAGTTTATTAGTCAATCCAATTGTCGAATGTTTAACACAATCCCATCGGCTGTTTAGAACTATTACAAAAATGTATCGCGTAAAGACAAGTTCTACTTTATAGTTCGAACGGATCAAAGAGTACATCGTTCACCTTTATATAAGAAAATATACGACTGTAAGATTTACCGAAAATTTTGTACTCGTTCCTGGCATTTTAATTAACGATCTTCATTCTCGTCTACTACTCGTCGTCCTGCTCGGTCACATCTGTGTCCTTATCTTCGGTACGAACGGAATCTACGTTTTCCTCTGTGTTTAAACCATGCGGTACAAATTTCACGATGTATCCGGTGGGTTGTAAATGTGGGAAGTAGTCAGAATGAACAAGATGCGTCAGTGGAGTCTAAAAATGATGCACGATGAAATATCTATAAATCTTTAATATTATCCAATGACTAAATAATAAATACTTTGCCGTTGAAGTCTGCGGGGTATGTAGGATATGCGCCAAGCACGGGTGCGTCTTCCCCGTTTGTGTTCATTAAGTCACTCCCAGCATCGTTATTATTTTCATGTATCTGAAATAGAAGAAGGTGAAAATTGTTCATTGAGAATTTGAGGCAAAAATATTTGTTGCATCGAGAAGCATAAGAAAGCAGAGATTCGTATCGCTAACTGGTAATACTTACCGGAATAGCACTTCCAAGAAGCGATCCTTCTCCGGGTTGACTTAGATTTGGTAGCAAAGCATTATTCAGTTGAGCGTGTGCCTGAAGCAAGCTATGCATTGGCGTAACAGCGGCTCTAACAAGTGCTTCGGGAATGGCGTGCAACCTATCAATATGGGGATGGAAACGAGGATGTAAAACTGAACGAAGTAAACTACCGCTAGCAGGAATATGATGATAGCCATCGAATAGTGGCGGTGGAAGCTGATGGAGCAGAGAATTAACTCTGCCGAGGAAAGGTCTATGTATATGAGGACGACGGACTAAATGATGTACCGCAGGAATGTATGGAAGAGCAACGTGATAATCGGGTATATTTGCATCGGCACTATCCGTATTGTCATTGTTTTCGGACAGGTCGGTGTCATCTTTGTTGACTGGATTACCTAATCCGACTACGTCGTTTCCCTCATTCTTTGACTCGCAATTGGCTGACCTAACAAAGTGAGAATGACCTTTCAGCGGTCCTCCTGTAAGGAAATAATTTGCAACTTGATGGGCGTCACCTAAGAGTTAATCAAATAATGTAACAAGATGCGACAATTAATATACTGGTGTGTTAGTATATTATGCTTCTATCTCACCCACTCTTAGATGTTTTTTGGATTCGAGAACACTTCGCGTAATACGATCTTCATTTGCCAAATCGTCGGCATTGCCAATTTCATTCAATTTTATTAATTCTCTTTGAGAGCGAACTGTTTGGAATTTATACATATAAAATAATTATCGATCCACTAAGATATATATATTGAACTATTTTTTAAAAGAAACTTATGCTAGATTTATTTACCTTTATCATCGCCATTGGAGAGCACGGGATCTAATAGAATAGATGCTAGCTTGTCGCTATTATCAGATTTTGTACAAGAAATACGAGTGTACGGTTTGATAAAATATAATATTAGAATTGTGCACACGAATCGAGGTCGTTTCATACTTGCACCTAACAATGGATTTTTAAAGAATTAACACCAACGATAATTCCCTCCACGGTGATTACATGAAACTGGTGTCGCGCATAATTTCGCCTGAAATTATATGGACTCTGCAGAGGAAATTCTGCTGACAATTTATAAATATGTATTGTTCATTTCCCATAATATAAGTGTTTATAACGGGAGTGTAAACACGTGTTGTAACCTGCTCTTTTCTTCGATTGGGTCATTGTTTAATTTAAATAAAGAATAAATTATTATTCGCTTTAGAAACGTATTCCAGGTCTTTTTTAAATCGTTTCATCCTGCATGAATCGTATCGACAGAGAAAACAGCATTACAAATAAAATCTGCATCAATTTTATCAGCGTCGACGAATGCTATATTAATTCCTATAAGTTTATAGGTATGAAATTTTCTAAAGAGGATATAAAAAATAAATCCCTTCTTCCGTGACAATATGTTTTCACACATTGCCGTGACCAGGATTCGAACCTGGGTTACTACGGCCACAACGTAGGGTCCTAACCACTAGACGATCACGGCTATCGAAGGTCATGTTAAAGAATTTGATTTTTCAGAAGAAATAGTCGATACATTTTGTAAAACAGAGCGATAGTTGCTTCTTCTTTCTGCATTATTATACAAGGATAATTTCTTTTGAAAAAGTTCACCGACTACATCAATTTCGAAACAACTACATATTTCGAAATGTGAAAATATGCGTGACCCTGTTTTTCTTCCAGCGTAATAACTTTTTATAATTTGTTCGAGCTTTTCGTGAATTTAAAGGCTTCTTTCTTTAGAATGGTACAATTTAGATTTACATAACGAGTCCACCGAAGTTTAACGATATTTTCGGAATTACATAATGTTGCTTATTATGAGGCAATACACGATTCCTTATATGTATGTAGATACAGTCGGTGAAAATTGCAATTTCAATTTACATTTCAATGAAGTAGGGAAGTGTGTTTATTTTTCAATAATTTCTAATTATTAAGCGTAGGAATTGGAAAATTTGACGCATAAGTAACAAATTTTTAAGTTTCGTGTGTTGCAAATTGCAAATGATCAAAATTCCTAAAAATGGGAAACCAGTCTCTCTCTCTCTCTCTCTCTCTCTCTCTCTCTCTCTCTCTCTCTCTCTCTCTCTACTTATTGTAAATTATCAGTTATTGATTGAGAATGTTTAAAGTAAATTAAAAAAATTTTTAAGTACGTTGTCATCACCAGATTGCAATTATGTTAACGACAGAGATGCGACCACAGTGTTCAAATGTTGTCCGATAGATGGTAGTCGCAGTTACTTGAAAATGTATAACGATAAACAAATTTCGTTTTCACACTACGTGTCTTTCTTCACTTTTATACATTTTGATATCGCTATCGACTATCGATACTCTTTAAATTCCGAAAAAAAATTTTTAAAAATACTGTTTTCCGTTCTTTCACATATCCTATATCTAATCAATTATATTAAAACGTGAATTTCAGGAAAGGATAAACGCCATAGATTATAAATAAGTAAACGAGTGCGAAGAGTTGGAAGAAAAGAAATCGATAGAGTAGGAATCCATCGTTCGTCGCACCGATTGACCAAGAAGAAGCAGCTCCTCGCAGTTTCTGTTCTCCTAACATAATCCGGCTTCCAGTGACCGTCTTGTGCTACTGCGACGCCGTGGTTGCCACCAATAAGCGGCTCGAAGCCATGCAAAAAAGTTGGCAGTGGTGTACGACGAAACACGAAGAGTTTCGATGTCGCGCAGGCCGGAAGAAGAACCGCGTGATTCCGAGAAATAGATCTTCCAACGCATTTGTGTTCGAACGAAGAAGATTCCCGGTTCCGCGCGAATCGGCTGTTCGCAGGTTGTGCATTGCGTGCATAGCGCCACACACGTTTTAACCAACTCCGATCATTTTACCTATAAATATTTCCCGATGTTCGAATTTAAAGTAATATGTTTGATTTAGCGTACCAAATTTGCCGTCTCCGTATAAACGCGCAAAATTGATTCTTTCGAGTTATCAGATCTTCGTCGAGAGTTCGTTTTTATGGAAAAATATTTCTTATCGTTCTCAAATATTAAACAACCGGAGGCAAGTAGAACCTCCTTTTCGGCAGCTATAGCTTCCGAAGATAAGAAACAAATAAAACTCTCATTAAATTCCAACGCGAACTTTGTATGTATTTAACTTTTAAAATCTGTACTCATTTAGCGAACTAAAATCGATAGAATATTTTGCATCGGATAGCGTCTGTCGATTGTACATTTTTATTATCGAGCGTTCGTTATATGGAAATATAAACAGGCTCTGGTCGAAGGGTCGATCGGTTTCTTACTTTTTTTCTTATTTTTTTATTTTTAGGTTTAGGAACCGAGGAAAGATAGATCATAAGCCGACGCGCGACGTTTTAGAAAAACGGGACGGGACGACCCAACGGATGCGCGCGATCACGGGCTCGACGTTGATATCGCGAGCAACTTTCTCGCTGTTTCTGTTATCCTGGCCACGAGAATCTCTCGGCGAGCCTGCCTCAACAACATCGTCGTGGTCGTTCTCGGTGAGCAAATAAATACACGATGCTTCGCGTAACGGTAGTACAGTAGCGGTAATTAAATTGCGGACGCTTCTGCGAGACGTCCTTACGCGAACGTTTCTTTTTTCTTTTCTTTTTCTTTTCACGTAAATTAAAATAGATTATTTTCCGCGTTAACGAATTTAACAAGGCGCGAGAACAAGGTGCAAGTTCGCGGGATTCTTGCCTTCCGATTCTTTTCAACGGTCCACGTTCTACATAATATTGTAATTCGAAGCCGGAATCGGGGGAAAACTCTGATTTAATTTAAAATTCCAAATTCTTTCCAACAATATAGCTACGAAATTATAATAATATAGATAAATGAATTTAACTAGTTCCGCTGTATACACGAACAGGCTGCTAGTTCGCGGAATTCTTGCCTTCCGATTCTTTTCAACGGTCCACGTTCTAGATAAAATTGTAATTCGAAGCCGGAATCGGGGGAAAAAATTCTGATTTAATTTAAAATTCCAAATTCTTTCCAACACAATAGCTACGAAATTATAATAATATAGATAAATGAATTTAACTAGTTCCGCTGTACACACGAACAGGCTGCTCTCTTAATTACCAAAGAATGTAATATCGGCGTTTCGCAACCCCTCGTCGTCCACTTTGACTCGATCCATTTTTATTTTCCGCGAACAATTCCTCCACGTTCGAATTTCCACGAACTCGAGGAAGCATCGCGCGTTTCCACGGTTTCCAACGGTTTCCGCAAAATGTCCCTCTCGTCGCGAAACGATCATTTTTCTGACCCATCTAACCAGAAGTGTTATAATTACGATAAAAAAGTTTCCCCGTTTTCGCGCGAGTTGGCACGCGTGTAAGTTCAAGACGAAGCAATTCCATGCTCCGTAACACGGTCGACGGGCCCGACTATGCAATCTTTACGCGAATCGCGTTTTCCTAAACGGTGTCGTCGTCATTGTGCGGCGTAACAATAGTTTCTCGGGGTGTCGCGTTTGCCGGAGGATCGCTCGGGGGAAGTCGTGTATTTTCGCCTTGCCAAAACTCGATTAATGTAAATTCGTGTAGACGGGAAGCGTTTTCTCTAACGCGGAAGCTGTTCGCTGCGGAACGCGAATACGTATTACGACAGAAATATTCGCGGTTACTTCGGACACTGTCGGCGGCGCGGCCTCCGATTCTCCGATTATATCTGCGAAACAAGATTCGATAATAATGATAATAATAATAGGATCGTTGCCCTCGCGTTGGGAACGAGCGCGCATAGGATGTTCCTGAAATTATAATACAAGCGTGAACAAATGTTGCGGAATCGTAGAAATATGATGTTGAAATTGAACACGGATTCTTCTTCTCGCTATTCTTGTTCCGTCCTGGACCAATAAAATAAACCGAACCCTACGGGACAAGGTTCGATATTTCGGATTTACAACGACGACCCGCTGTAACGATATTTTCATACCGTTTACTTTACCGGTTAATACCGGTAAAGTAAAAAATAAGGAATAGTTTTATTACTGCACTTTAGCCGGAGACCCAAGGTGGTCTCCAACTGCCTTCCGTCGACTTGCCCTTTTTTCAAGGCCCTAGAGCGACGTCTTCGGAAGTGGGGGGCAGGTTGGGGGTGAAGCCAATCAGGCTCCAAAAATGGGCCGAACAAAATTCACTCCACCCCGAGCAAGACAACCTGCAAAACAAAACTTGTCGAGACCGGGAGTCCTTCGGTAACTCTCACGAGAGATGGTCAAGCACTCTCACGCAACCGTAAACCTGGACCTTCTTTAAACAAACTGTGTTGCTTTGCATTACGACATAGTTTAAACCTTTTTTTACAAATCAACTCCACCGCCATTAACCCTAGAAAGATAACCATATGACAACGTACGTAAAAGATAACCATACGCTTCAGAGGCGCATGCTTTTCTAAGGCGTCAATTTTATACTAACAATGGATATTTATTTAAGTTAATCTAGTCATTTTAAAGGTTTGGCTTTATTGTAAAAATAAAATGCATTTATATTATATTTTTTTATATTTTAAGTAATTTTAAACTTAAATCACTAGACCTCTATGAAAAATTAACAAAAATCAACAGTCTTCGCAGGCGCCTCTGCGACGTAGGTTATCTTTCTCGGGTTAAGTTGTCGTTGGAGGCGCAGCATTTGGAGGAACAACTTTCAATCTGCGATATATTCGTACGGCCCTAACAATTCTTCTTGCTATTTTAACTAAGGAAATGTTTCTTGGGATATCTCATCGGTACACAGATATTTCAGCATAGCAATGTCTCAATTTTTATCGATATTTGGTTCTTAAAAAGGAAATGGCGAGAAAGTCACCGAACAATCGATGAAAATCGTGATTACACATATCGTTGTGTACGTATACATTGTCAACCGGATAACGCGGTCTCCGCTTCGTTCGCGTGATCCGGACCATCTCGTGCTCGTTCTTTCTCCATCGTCGTTGGTTTCCTACATTCTCGTCAATGTATCGATGCGCCTGGCGCACGCCTTCATGTTTTTCCGATCGATGTCGTGCATCTGCGAGCATTATGGGTAAACGCGATCGATTAATTAAGATTTCGTTCGAGAAAAGTCGACGGGTACCTGTTTGACGAACTTCCTTTTCAGCCTTCTGTCCTGGAACACGAATCTTTCGCTCGTTACAAGGTTTCCGAACGTCTTCACTCGCAGAGGGCCGAACTTCTTTTGGAACTTCCTCACGTTCCCGGCGCAGGTGTCCTCGAGTTCGTGAATTTTAGCGTGTATCCTCCGCTGCCGGTGCCCCAGGTTGTCCACCTTTTTCGTCAGCTGTCTTATTTCACCGTAGCATTCGCGGTAATCCTTTCTCATCTTCGTTCCGATCTCTACTCTCACCTAGATTGGATCAAGCAATCGAACATCAATGTCGGCCGCTCGTCGCTGGATTTTCACGCGTACACAGGCGTACGCGCGAGTCACGACGGGTCTTCGGTGTTTCTTTCGCATTCGAGAATATTCGGCTCTCTCGAAAATAATCGAACGGGGCGATTTCCGTTCGACGGTTTCGTATCGCGCGTTCGAGCAGCTTGCGATCAAATTTTGATTTCGGCGAGGTATTCGTACGCGCGCGAACCGTTCGCGCTGTATTAGGTACACAATAGAACGATAATCACTTGCTCGATCTCCCTGTTTATGCGAGCTCTACGTTCTCCCGACACGTTCCTCCGTTTACCGAGAATTTTGTCGACTCTCTCTCGACCGGCCCGTATCCACGAATCAACCTTCCGATCGATACAGTCGTCCCCGTAATCGATCCGAAACGACTCTTCCTCGTTAACATTGTCGGCCACTCTCGCCAGGACCTCGCCGCTCCAATATAACACGCGATCTTTCTCTTCCAGTAAACGAGCCCATGTGTTTGGCATACGACCCACCGTTTGACCCATTGTTTCTCGGAAACAGTGTACACGGCCTGCCGATCGCGTTCCGACATGGTTCCAACAATCCGATCCGACGCGGCGATTCGACGCCCTCTAGCCCGAGAAAGATAACCTACGTCGCAGAGGCGCCTGCGAAGACTGTTGATTTTTGTTAATTTTTCATAGAGGTCTAGTGATTTAAGTTTAAAATTACTTAAAATATAAAAAAATATAATATAAATGCATTTTATTTTTACAATAATGCCAAACCTTTAAAATGACTAGATTAACTTAAATAAATATCCATTGTTAGTATAAAATTGACGCCTTAGAAAAGCATGCGCCTCTGAAGCGTATGGTTATCTTTTACGTACGTTGTCATACGGTTATCTTTCTAGGGCTAGGCGAGCGAATCGACGTTTTCGAAAAGTTTTTCGCGAGACCGATTCGTTCGACGCGATCGAGCGATTCGTCGAGCTCGATATACCGTAATTAATAACCGAGAATTAATCGGTAAATAGAACTTTTACGCGTAAATTACTTTCTTGGACGCGCGAACGAAGGCGGAACACGTTTTATAGGCAGAATTTTACGTAGAATTTTCCGTAAGACATTTATGGAACATCCGTACGAGACGCAACGACGACGATCGAAACGCTGCTGCGACGATAACGATATTCACGATCGATCCGGGGCATTATTTTTTTTAATTTCAGCGGACCCGCCTTTCGGAATGGAATACGAATTCCTCGATTTAATATTTCCAACGGTTTTCAGTTTTTCAATTATTCCGTGTTTCGTTTGAATAGTTAACGCGTTTCGAGAAACACGTCCATCGTATACGGTGCGATCACCCGAACATACCGATGGGAATCAAATTTTACACGAGCGTAATGCACATTCGACGAAGGTTTTAATAAACGTGGATTTCTATTCGATTCATCGTTACGCGTAATTCGCGCGCCACCGTAAAATATCAAACGTTCGCCGTCTCTGTCAGAATGTTACGAGCGTTCGAACGTTGCCTTCGACGTCGAGCGAATCCGACGAGAACGGTTTCCGCATCGAATTTTTTCTTCGAGGAAAAGACTCGATTAGATTCTACTTTTTCCGATTTAATTCGTTTCGAACAGCCGCGTTCTGCCCCCGCGTAAAAAATCCTTCGAGCGGAGTCCATTTCACGCGTTGTTGTTGCGACGGCAACACCGAAGGACGAACGTCCCTGGCCATCCCTTGAGCAATTAACCCTAGAAAGATAACCATATGACAACGTACGTAAAAGATAACCATACGCTTCAGAGGCGCATGCTTTTCTAAGGCGTCAATTTTATACTAACAATGGATATTTATTTAAGTTAATCTAGTCATTTTAAAGGTTTGGCATTATTGTAAAAATAAAATGCATTTATATTATATTTTTTTATATTTTAAGTAATTTTAAACTTAAATCACTAGAC